TAAGTGCATTTTGTGCTTGTTGGGACAGCATCAATGCTACTCCTTGTGTATGTGGGTCATTTTCTTGTTCATGTCCGGAGTATAACAGCAGCTCTCCTGAAGCTAGTCGTTGTTGTCCAACTTGCGTCCAATGTGTTTCACTGATCCCAAGCACCTCTAAATTGTATCTCCTCATTTCTGCAGCAATTTGGAAAACTCTCCCAGTCTCCCACATTGTGCGAGCATTCCATGTACCTAAATAAATGGTTGCTCTGGTTGTCAGAAGGGGCATCGGCCTTGTGACTTCCGAAGAAACTCGGCTTTCATCATGAGGTGTCAGAATTCTTCTAAACGAAGACCTCCTGACACCCAGGGCAGAGTTTAAATGGTTTGAATAATTTTTTCTGGTTAGCGTTTTTTTAGCGAGTTAGTTTTCTACGGGATGGGGTCGCTAACCCCATGCCCAACCCTCCTCCTTTATCCGGGTTTGGGACCGGCAGTAGCCCCCCGAAAGGGACTCCAGGCGGAGTTGTAAAAGCAGTTTGGTTGTCCACATTTATAAGTCTTACTAACCATTGTAATTTGATTTAAAACTTTTAAAACACACTATGAACACAACGTGAACACGAGTGTCAGTCGATGAGTAAGCAAGAAAGGTACCACAAGACAAAGTTTAGAAAAAAATCTCAAACTATAACTAAAGCGCTTTTACTTAAAGTAGACCAAGAATGCTTTCTGTTGCCACTAGTACACAAAGCAATGATAATCACAACTAGTACAAAAATCACTCCCCTTCGATTAATTGACTACCTAAAATTTCTCCCTTATTCTGAACGTGGTAATCTTAGCTAATTAATTCCTTACCGGTTAACAAATATACCATTTAAAATATAGTTCTCGATATCAGTAGTTATTCCTACTAAAAATTATTTTAAATCTAATTATAAACATACTAAGTTTACATACTTTTAGAAAAATAATTTGATACCTGGTAAATGGCATGATAGTGCATAATGATCACGCAGACCTACCTAAACGGTAAATTAAGTTTTGGAAACATCATAGATCTTTAGTAATATATGTTTGTATTTATATATATTTAAGTTAGCAAACACAATACGCAGTTAGATTTGTTATATATATAAACTTCTAAAAATGGAAAAAGTAATTTAAGTGATATTGTGGAGATTTTTTGTTTTATTCAGTTGGTGGTATTCGTCACGAATTAGTTTCATTCTGGATACCACTGTATTCAGTATCTCTTTTACTAATTTAGAAAAGAATAGACTGGTAAAAGAGCATTAAAATGTATAAAAATAAATCTGAAGGAAAAAGATTTTATGATAACAGTTTCTAAATAATATTTTAACCTTTGTCTATAAGATACAAAACTGAATGAAAATTTATCTTAGTTAATGTTTTAACGCTCGGTATTTCCGTC